TGTTCTCTCCGTCGCATATCTTGCTTCAAATGAAACTGCGTTTGTACATGGCTATCTGTAAGGTTTGTATAAACCTTATAATTGGTTTTTATAAACCTTACAGTTCTGGAAGTAATTAATATTTATAGCCATGATGATAGTAGCTGGATGCTGCCATCTTAACTTTGATTAACCAAGTCCAAGGCCAACAAACATAAAATCATTGATTCATAAAATCAAAAATAGGCCTAATTACCCTCCCCTTCTTAATTTATTAGCCTTTAACAAGACAAGTCTAATTTCCATGGCATAATTGGACACTATTCGATAAAAATAATTCTGAGGCCCTTGCTTATGTGATTTTTCTTTTCATTTTTCATGCAGGAATAACGTATGCACTTGTATATAGAACAGAGACGTACAAGAAGTTGAAAGCAGAGGTAGAAAAACAGAGCAAGAAATGTGAGTAAAACTGCAGTAACCAGATTTGAATTCCAGCAAGTTCAGAGAGGAAATGTTGACAGGGTCAATCTTAACTACAGTTTTCTCAAAAGAAAGATTTAATTCAGCAAAGCAGTTGGAAATTTTTCTTCAAGACATGCACGCTATTTCCATAGACGTTCTATGTACATGGAAAAATCCAACACCAGGAAAAATAGACAAATAATTTGCAGACAGAAATACATACTTTTTGTCTTCACATTTCTTACTGCTTCTATTTTTTAAATTGTGAAATAGTGGAAAAGACAAAAGAGCAGTTTGGTGATATCAGTGACAAAGGCCAGAAGAAGAAACTCGGTAAGTACACAGATGAATTCACATGTTGGTCTTAAATTCCAGGGTATCATTTTGGGGCAGAGTTAGGATGTACAGGCATTGTGCTGTGCATGTTTTCTCTGTGAAGGTTTTACCTCATCTCTGCGGCTGTTTTAGGAGTGGCCCCTCATTGCAAAAGCAACGCCTTACTTTTTGGGGGTTCCTGACCAGTTAGCAGTCGGATCAAAGTGAGGAAGAACATTTTCTGAAAGTGAAACTTTGTCTTCGCAGAACGCCAAGAAGAGAAGCTGAAGAACGACAGCAGAGATTTATCCATGGTGAAAATGAAATCCATGGTTGTTATAGCCTTCACGTTCACATCACTCATGGGAATGTTCAACTCAATGTAAGTTACACTTACGACGCCCCCCCGCCACCGTCCGTCATCTGACATGTAGAGCCGTTGCTGATCTTTAACCGGGATTTGCTGACTGTTTGGATAAAAGTTTGTTATCTTTGACTTGCTGAAAGACAGTACTGGCTTGAGTGATTTCTGAACTGTTACTCAGATGGTTGCTTTGGGCAAAAAGGTACAGAATATCTGTTTTTGGTTTACTCTACCCCTTCACTGGATTATTCTGTCCCGGGGGCACATTGTCACTGAAGGATCGAACCCCACCCTGGGGCACCATGGCTGGTAGAAGGGCCTGGGAGAGAGACTTTTGTGGCTTTGGAAAGGGACAGACTATCCCACCCTGGGTTTTAAAGCATGACCCTAAGTGCCAGAAGCAAAGTGTTTACTGAGTTGCCTCTTGACCTTTGACCCTAGATTTGACGGGAGGAATGTAGCTAAGTTACCATTTGAGCCCATTTCCTGGCTTCATGGCATCTCCCATCGGAATCTCCTTGGCAACGATTATACAGACTGTTCCTTCATCTTCCTGTACATTCTCTGTACCATGTCCATCAGACAGGTAACCAAGACATTGCAAACTTTGTACTAGTTGTCCGACAATTTTCAGGATCTCAATGCCCTTATTTCTGAAAACATCTGTCACTGTGCCTTATGCCCACATCATCTTCATTTTAAATTATCTCCAAAAACTAAATATGCATGTTTGAAAAACTCTTTGTTTTGTTTGTCGTTCTAAATCTGACTCCATTTGTTCCTCACAGAATATCCAGAAGCTGCTTGGATTCGCACCGTCCCGGGCGGCAGCCAAACAGTCAGGAGGCTTCTTTGGACAACAGATGCAATCCTCAAAATAGATTGGCCAATCCCGTTGCTTCATCTGGAGTCACATGACAACCATCTTGCAGCCAAGTGCTCTCAGTAGCTGTCTTTACAACGACTATAAACATTTGACGCAAGTCATCTCTTAATCTTTCAAACTCACAACAAAGGGATTCCAACTTCAGTAGTCATTTGTAATACGGCCTTCGAGACTCGTTCAACTTTTCCCATGTTTGTTGAAGGAGGCATAATTTTTTGTGCCCTAGAATTATTTAATTGCACCTGATATGTAATTTCAAAAGCTTCAGAGTACTCTGGTTTTGTTTAGAGGGGATTGGTCCTTATACTCCAAGAAACTCTCAACAGGTTAGTATTAGAAGATTGAGAAGGAACTTCAGTCGCATGTTTGAAGCACCCAATTTGTGGCATCATATTTTGTTACTTGAAGGCACTAACCCATGTTTTGTTTCTGAAAACCAAAATATCCCAATTGTAAACAGTTTCAATAAAATTTTAAGCAGCAATTGGAAGCTCTTATTGATCTGTTATTTGGGGAGTTAAAGACTTGATATGAAATATCGTAAGTAAAACGCATGAAAAAACTTCCACACTGTGTGGTTGAACCACGTTTTATTTATACTTCGGCATTAATACAAAAAAATTTCAAAGTAATACTTAAAATGATCACCTCTGACAATTTGAAATATGAATGACCCAGAAACACATGAGTTTACAAGTTATTTCACTTTGTGCAAGGTGATTTAAGTACAAGCAAATTATAAAATATGGCCTCTAAAAGTCAATAAGGAAAGGTCAACAGCTGGGAATGTGTTCACCTCCTCTAATGCTATCGCTGCTTTCCCAAAATTGCAATTGAAAAAAAAAATGCAGGAACAGCCATCCAATTCAGCAAAACAATTGTTACGATAAAACTAAGTTTAAGTTAACTAAACAGTACTCTTTACGGTATTTCAGAACTGCCCGAAGATCCCAATTAAAAAATACGAAGCAAGCATGTAAGAGAACAATTGTAATTTGTGCCATTAACAGAACATCAATTCTGTAATCACTTTCAACAAAATATACACTCCAATTTGACAAAATTCTATTAATAAGTTTTGATTTGAAAAAGAATTTTATCACAGCGTTTTCACTAGTGAAGAAGCAAAGCGTGGAAAATAACTTTGTTGTGATAAATCCTGTGTATTTACAATATAAATTATTTATAACATTAGTTTTACCTTCCCTTCACCTCTTATGAAATAAGACAAGCGCAAAGGAATCATCAAGGACTGGATGACAAAAAAAGCACAGAGAAAATTCAGGATATCAGGGTTGGTAAACGAGACAGAACAGAAGATAACTAGAGGAACAGAACCCTGCTAGGCAACGTTGTGATGATCGAGAAGCAACTGCAAATGGTCTGAAGATGACATTTCGTAAGACCAGGAGAATTGAAGCTATACCGAATGCTACCTGCTGACCATGGTGACAGTTTGCTGGGTATCGGTTGAGTGGGTTGGCTGAACTCTCAAAAGTTCTGACGCTCTTTTAGATAGGAATTTCATTTTTGTCACCATAATGGTATGAAATAATTGTTCTCCTGGGTAGAAAGTGTGCATCCTGCACCAATACGCAGTTGGGAAACATCAACATTGAGCTGGATTTCACGGGAAGTCTGACGTTCTTTGCAACTGGCAACATTTTGCATTACAAGCAACCTCTACCCTTTTGGCAAAATCTCCAACACTGTACATGTATATGAAAACTTCCCAGGATTTTCGAACCACCAGCTGCAGTTTATGACTTTCATGAAACAGCAGATGTCAAACCATCCACAGAAACGCAGATTAAAGTTTAGGAGGGCATCCTTCAGGGTTTAATAATCAATTTATGTGTTCATTCTGAACAACTGGCAATGTTGCCACAGTCAAGAAGCCCTTGAAGATCGACAAGACAAGCACCATTGACTTCCCCGGATCCAAAGTTCTTGGATGAATGCTGCTCGGTGTCTCCCCTTACCACCGCATCAATTCTGCCTTGTACTTTTCACAATTATTGGAACTGCAGGTAAACACAGAAATCAGGTGGTTTCTTTCGTAAAAAGCAAGTCTTTTACATTATCTGAACTTCAAAGTTCAGATTTTTTCAAAAAAAAAAAATCAAAATTAAATAAGTCCTGGATGTAAATGTAAAGTATTCATGTTTTATTGACAATAGTTTTTGCTTGGAAAATGTAGATAAATAAATTGGATTTTTAAGAACTTCAACTCACACCATAATGTACCTGCAATGCACATTTTTCTGTAATGTCGTAACAGTAATGAAGTTTTGTATTAACGCCAAGAAGATTAAACCTGAATTCTTGAACAAATTAATTTACTTACTGAATATAATTAGAAGAATCACTACGACCACAATCAGTAACAGAAGTCTCATCTGTCAAAATATAAACCCAAAATATGTCTTCAACTTGTCTTTACAATGGATATTTGTTGTCCAAAAATCATTGCCTTGTTCATTTTCTTAATCTTCCATTTTAAGCTTCTTTGCAATCATGTCTGAGTGATCTTCAACAGCTGGCGGCAATTTTACAGAGCTGTGAGGCCTCAAAATCTATTAGCAAACAAAATTTCTGCCAAGCAAATGCAGGTTTCAGACCAAAATGTTACGCATTCTATATATTTTTGGATCGGTTCCCAGTTGCTTTTTACTTAGAATATGAAATTGACGAGCATTTTTTTCTACTTAAGCAGCTCAGTGAAATTGGGCCCTGGGGTCTTTTCCTGTATAATCCAGATTAATTTTTTTTGTCATTCTTAATTGACTACCTTGCATTCCTGCCACCAGAAGTGGGATCGCAGACCTTTGGCGCTGACCCGGAACATGCTGGCACTATAGGCCAGATCATCTGCAAATGATTGTGCGAGATTTGCTTCAATTCAACTTGACTTTCTTGATCCACGAGACATCTAAATCTACAAGCATATTTCAACAGTGTGGCAGTCGAGTTTATCACGAGTCCAGTCACACGTCCTTTCACAAGACTAGTCGTAAGTCACAGGGTGAGCAATGACCAGGGAATGCTCCTGTCACAGGACTTGGCTTAAGACTTGGCTTGTGGATGGACTTGTGACGGGCTTTAACTTGTGCTGGGATTGACCAAACACCGTATCTTAAACATGAAATGGTATCCAAACTTTCAATCACAGGTGGTGATCCTGGCTTTTTTTGGGTTCAAAACTGAATTTTAACTACGTTGACAAGTGAATGTGTTTAAAATGAAGCTGTGGGCTGTGGTCACGGGGAAAGAAACCCAACATGACAGCAAGGGAGATTAAATGTACATGTAGATGGACAACTTGCTTTGCTCAGTTTATCTGTAACCATTTGATCAACTGACCAGATTTTTCTTGCAAATCGTCCAGTCTCTCTCCTCTGTCCAGCACCTTGCCGATGTTGTCATGCATGATTTCAACCACCTCATTCACTTGCCTCTGTACGCTGTTAAGAACATGAAACGATATCATGTGAAGGTAACATGCATTATTTGCTCAATGAATAAATGGAGTAACTCAGGGTAGAATTTGATAATTGGTCTGAAGGGTTACGGATTTGAGACATTCTGACTTTTTTTCTGACTTCTGAAAGGAACAAGCATAGATGTATTTCTGGAAGTACAATTCAAACACTGGTCTACGCCTCAGCAACTTGTTAAAAACGTTGATTATACTATAGATGTGTCTAAGATGGAAAGCTTGCGGGAAGCACCATGCAATATCTCTTTTTGAGTCTGTA